TATTTCAAGGTTATGATCAAATCCTATGGGGATTGTCTACGTACCATGACGCCGCATGAATCAGACCAAGCGTAGTTCTGGGATAATGTGTGAAATAAATAACAAAATAAAACATTTTTTGGGGGTTTTCAAACAAAATAAAACATTGTGATTACGACAACTTCTCCTACAGATTTAAAGATAAAGACTAACAGACTCGATGAGTGGACTGACAACTTCAAAAGAAAATTGGAGATACAGACTCGAAAATAAACTAAAACACAGACTCGAACAAACAAAGTCAAGAATACATAAGTGCTTCAACTGCTTCTCCAGTCGGCCTTGCTGCGGGCCTCTACGCAATGTCTTCTTGGAGGCAAAACAAGTCATCCATAATCTATTGGACAAAAATCATAACTGAAGCGAAGAACATGGACCTGTTCATGTCTTCACACTCGTTGCATTTCATTACAATGTAGTCCGCAATTCTCCTAATCATTTCCCTGATAATACCCTTCTCCTATAGAAACCGTCCGATCTGCTGAGATCTGGCACCCAAATCTTGTTCAGCTGTGTGATTTTGCTCTTGAAGCTGCTGTAGGTCTTTCTCTAGCTGTGACATCAGGGCATAACAATGTTCCCTTTCTGCTTTGAAGTCTTTTGCCTGCTTGGCCATTTCATTTTCAAGGACATTGACCTTTTCCTTTATACTCATCATTCCCTTGTCATACTTCTCCTTCAGTTGCCGAACGAAGCTAGCCCATCCCTCCGCATTCTTAGCTAACTTAGCTCGGGCATTTGCTAGCTCTGTTTCAGTCTTTTGCAAGTCCTCCTCAGAGTCACGTACTTTCTATGTAAGGCTGTAAATGAGCTTTTCATCTTTTCTGCTCCTGCCCGAGTTCTCAACTGCTATTCTCATTTTTCGAACTTGGGCTCGGAGAGCTTCATTCTCTTGGGCCAACTTTCTTCTTTCACCTTCGGCTTCTTGTGCTTGGAGATCATTGTTGAATTCCTTGTTTCTCAACTTCTCTTTCAAGGCGTGAATCTCAGCTTGATATTTCTTCTCATTTTCTCCCCAGGCCAACCTTTCTTGGATTTTGTCGTCAAAAGCTTGAACATGAGGTATCTTGGCAGGCCTCCCGGGCTTAGGCTTTAGCTTATTGTTTACACAAGACCTTTTCTCAAACCATGCAGCATAATTTGTATCCACTTCCCCCTTTGCAACATCTGGTACCTGGGTGCCATTTTTCAAATACCGGCAACCATTCTAATCTTGCTGAATTGGAGCTTCGGGCAATGCAGCTTCTGGATGTAGCTCAATGACCTGGGTGGTTAGATCTTCATCTTCAGGCACCACCTGATATCTCCCTAACTGCCTTAATGCCCTCTACGGTGCATATGGCTGGATACTCCTCACACCCATCAACCTCAGGTAACCCTTGGTAGCCGTCATGTACATGGCTTCCGTCATCGGGAGCCATCCATTAGCCCACTCGATCTGACTTGCTTTGAGAGATTTCAAGTGGGAGACCCAGGCTTCAAACCCTTCTGGCATGTTGTAGTCTTTCACCCTTTCCTTATAACTCTCAATGAAGTTATCCGGGCTCGAACCATAACTCATGAACTTGGGATGACGGTGGAGATGCTTGATCAACCACATTTGTAGAAGGATATTGCAACCTTCAAAGAATTGAGCCCCAACTTTGCATAATGTCAATGCTCGATAAATATCTGCCACCACTAACGGGACAAGTGTATGATCTTCCTTGGTAGTGAGGATTTGTGCAATTCTAACCATACGAGTATCCACTGTCCCTTCCTCATTTGCAAAAACCATGATCCCCAAAAACGCCACAAAAAAAGCGAACTGATAATGAATTTGCCAAAGGCCTTTATCTTTCTTGTTGCTCAAACCCTTTTCATTCGTCTCAAACCCAGCTGAGTGCCCGAACCTGAAGTACAAGAGATGGAAAGAACAACACCCCTTGATTACATGGTCCTTCTTCATCTGTTTATTGATATTCAGGAGGTCAAAGAACTTGTGCACCGAAGGAGCCCTCGAAAATATAAGTTGTTGCTTCCTCAAATCCCGGCCAAACTCAATGTACCAGGCCATTTCCTCCAAAGTAGGGGTGATCTTAAAGTCCGAGCAACGAAAAACATTGTGGACAAGGTCCCAAAAGGTTACCAAAGCCTTGATTAAATCGTCCCGTGGTTTGATCTCCAAAATGTTTATAACTGTTTTTTCACCCACTTCTGACCATCTTCATCTAGATCATTCCACCACATACACAACTGCAACCGAGCCTGTTTTCTGACGAGTTCTAAGTAGTGTTCATCTGTGACGGGTCCTGGACAGTATTCATTTGCACCTGTGGAGGGTTAAGGTTAGGGTTGACTTTGGTGAACCTTTTTTAAAATAGGTTTTCTAATTTCTACAAGAAAAATCAACGGACCACGATTCCTTCCCCAATATGCTAATTTTAGAAAAAATGACCATTTTGCAAACGTGGCCCCTTCCCAATTCCAAATGAATTTTGAGGCCGGAGAGGATTACTTTATGGGAAAAATGACACTTCACCGACAGACTCGTCCATTCCTTTACGAAAATAGCCTTTCGACAACTGAAGATACTCTAAGGCTATCTCGGCGAGAGTGGTTTAAAACATTACTGAAGCTGGATCTGCTTATTTTGACCAAAACTCCAAACTACATTTATTTGACCATCGACTCTTTTATTTTCTTTTTTTTTTCAAAAACAAGGCCAAACCTTATGTAGGTTGCCTACGTATCCCACATCCGGTGAGAATCAGACCTGCGCAGTTCGGTCAGCTTTGACATATTTGAAAAGGACACAGTGTTTGACTCTTTTGAAATAACTCTCTTTCTCTTTCCTTTTTTTGAAAATTTTTGGCAAAGTTACGGGATATTTCCAAATACCGTGGGTTTTTTAGAATCGGGTTTTATTTCCTTCCCTACATCGCTCTTGATTTTTCTTTTTCTTTATTTTCCCTAGCCGGTCAGCATGCAGGCCGAAACAAATAAATGTTCACATAGCAGATAAGATGCATCAGGATGTTCTGTTATTCTGGACACACCTGTCCTAGACGGACCCAACCCCTGTGTTGAGTCCCCTAAATCAAATGCTTGTGATGTAGACAAGTGTTCCTACTAGGGATCCGGCATGAAGCTGTGTTTTTCTAGGTTAGATCCTGGGGTTTTGTTCTAGACTTGGGGTTACCCGAACGGACAACTGGGGCCAAAGAGGGGGCGACGTACCGGGAGTGCTAAAGTCTGTCTGGCCTTGTCGCTGGCCAGCCTCGTTCTATTTAGTATAATTTCTATAGAAAAAAGTGGGCCACGCGAACGTGCGCACCATTTTCAGAAGACTCAGAAGGATGACGTAAGAAAACAGTTATATACAATTCAAACAATATTAAAGCGGTAAACAGATATCATTTAGCACAAAAGGTTCATAGAGTACAGTAATATTAACAATAAATGAAGCCAAGTAAAAATCTTAAAAACAAGCTCGAATTCTTGAACTCTGAACCAGAGATTCTGGGTTCTTGTCCCCAGCAGAATCGCCAGAGCTGGCACACCTTCTTTTTACTACCCCCGAAAGGGGTACAAAGGAGTTTTTTCCAATTTAAGTGACAATCGAAACAGGATCATTTATTAAATTCAGAGTCGCCACTTGGGATAGTTTATGGTGTCCCAAGTCACCGGTTTACATCCCGAATCGAGGAAATTGACTCTATTTACAGTCTGCGAACACAGAAATCCGGGTATAGAATTCTGTTAAACAGGGAAAATGTGTTAGGTATTCCCGATTTCCGTGATTCTAGCACAGTCGCTTTGATCATACTTGGCTTATTAAAATTGTTAATTACTTATTTTAGAACTTATGTGCATTTGCCTTTTACCGCTTTTAATTAAGAAAATTATCTTGAAACGGGTCACGCGTATGTGTACCCATTTGTTTGGCGCGTCAAAAGTCATGTCATGCGAACGTGTCCACAATTAATAATGCTTTATTAATATTAAGAAAATTTGGCCGAAGTTGCGCGAACGCATACTCCAGTTTTGTTTTTAGAAATCGTAGTCATGTCACGCGAACGTGTCCACAATTAATAATGCTTTATTAATATTAAGAAAATTTGGCCGAAGTTGCGCGAACGCATACTCCAGTTTTGTTTTTAGAAATCGTAGTCATGTCACGCGAACGTGTCCACAACCACGATAGTATATTAAATGTGCCTAAAGCAAACTACGATATCATTCTTAATATCTAAGTTATAACATTAACACGAGGGCCATAGGGATTCAATTATGGATGTCACATCTCAGACTAAATTAAATTAGCCTATGAAAACCACTTAAAAAGGTTTGACTGAAGTTGCACGGACGCATAATCTGAATTGGTTTTTAAAATTATAATTATATCACGCGAACATGTACACAATCACAATAAAAATTTTAACGTGCCTAAAGGCTTTCCTACGAATATTCAATATTTTCCTAAACCAATTTGGAATTATTGTGAAAGCAACGAATTGGCAGATATGGAGTTATTAGAAGTCAAGATATTTTAGCTAGTTAGGGTTAGGGCTGTGCACGGATTGGATCGGATCGGATTTAGCATATTTCGGATTCGGATTTCGGATTCTGAAAATGACAATCCGAATCTGATCCGAATTAACATTGGATCGGATCGGATTTGAAACTTTGGATCGGATAAATTTTCTAATTGTCGGATTGGATTGTTAATTTTCAGAACTTCTTCGAAGTATATAAACAAATGTTGGAAATTACTTTCCAAATACAAATTGAGCAATCACATTTCAAATACTTGTTTTAACTGTAAACTTCGAAATTAAGTACTTAACATTGTTACATGTAACTGAGTACACAACTGATTGAACTGAATGTTCAATTTACAGTACAAAATGATTTAAACTGAATGTTCAATTTATAATACTGAATGTTCAATTTACACTTTACAGTACACAACTGAGTACTGACTGAACTAAGTACTCATAAAAATTAATAATGCAACTGAGTTCAAAAATGCACAGTCCTAGTAACAATGTTCGAACTTAACAAAACAAAACAACAATCTGAAATTTACACAACTGGACAGTAAACCAAACTGAAGACCCCAAAACAAAACACAATCAATTGTCTTTCAAACCAAATTTTCATAGCAAAATAAAACAAACCAAACTACTAAAGTCCCAACAGTTCTTTAAAATATTACACATAACAAAAGAGTTCCAAGTTCCATGTTTTGGGAAGCCGCAACAGTCAGAAATAGATGTTGTACCAAAGGTTCATTCACTGTCTCTGTTTCGTTTTCCATCTACCAAAGGTCCAAAACAAACAAAAAAACCTAAATAAAATCAGAAATAGATGTTGTAATAGAAAAAAACCTAAATAAAATCAGAAATAGATGTTGTAATAAAATCAGAATAGAAAATGAAAGAGATAAAAAACAGAACATAAAGACAAATCGATACATACATAAAAATTGAAAAAACAGTATGAACTATGAAACAATAGTAACTAATAGTGAAGAAGAAGATTACTTTACTGGCTTGATAGTTGAGACTTCGAGACCGAGAGGACTGACTACTGAGTCACTGAGATAAAGAGTGAAGAAGAAGAGAGGCGGAACCGCGGAAGCTAAGGCGACTGAACTCTGAAGAAGAGAGGCGGAACCGCGGAACAGTATGAACACTGAAGAAGAGAGGCGGAACCCTGGACTGGTCACTATGAACTCTGAAGAAGAGAGGCGGACTTAGTGGTGAACGAACAGCCCTAACTCCTAAGTGAAAAAGGCGGAAAAGAAGATTTAGGGTAAGAAATAGGAATAGTATTTAGGGTAGTATAGTACTATTAGTATAGTATACTAACTTAACCGGGTTAAGTTATTTAACCCTAAAGAATTTAACTATTTATATATAGGCCCATATAATTTCGGATTTCGGATCGGATTAAAATCATGCCAATCTGAATCCAATCCGAAAATCCGAAATTTTATAAAACATAATCCGTATCCAATCCGAAAATCCGAAATAGAGTATGTCGGATCGGATTTCGGATATCCGATCCAAATGCACAGCCCTAGTTAGGGTAGTGACAAATTATCCACATGTTAAAGGTGTTTGTATCTCACTACTCTATCTTTAAAATTATGAGGCATTTAGTTGTTAAGGATGAGCAGGCCAATTCTTGATCTACTCATTGAGATCATTGGGCCTGACAAATTAACTTGTTCCGCCCATGCCCTTTGATGATTGCAGGATAATTCTTGAAATTCCCTTTCAGTTTCAAGGAAGCCAACCACGCCATGTAGCTAACTAACTAGCTAAAGGAAGGAAGCAATTAGGAAATTCATAAAGAAAATATGCACTTATATCCCAAAAAAAAAAAACTTTAATGTCTTTACTCAAGATCCATTATTTACCAAAAACGAAAACGTCACCGTGCATTCTACTCTTATACAATCCAAGTCAGAATTCAAACAGAGATTCTAAAAGAACAATAAGTTCATGGATCACATGTTTCAAGCCAGAAGATGATGCAGTGATTTCATACTGCAAGGACAAAATACGAACATAGCCTTCTTAATTCCCTTAAATCCGAATATACGGTCAGCCAAAAACCAAAGCTCAAAATTCCCATGACTAGTTAACAAACTAGCAATTCTTGAAAATGCAGTCGATGAATTAAAGGAAAAAAGGGACAATACAAATGGCAAACAGTGCCGATGAACAACATGGAAATCAATTTGAATTTACTAAGCCACATGAGAATACATTGCCTTTCACACAAATTTCCTAAGAGACAAAATATATAGGCATGGCATTGTAATCAGGACTAACATGGCAAATTCGACTTCTCATTCAAGGAGTCCAAAACCTCGTTAAAAAAAACAGAGAAAACAACTCCTTCTCTTTGCCTATGTCTGCTGTTCTATCCTTTAGCAATTACTACTACCACACAAACAACCACGAAAATACTCACTTACAGAACAATAGTTAGAGCAAGATGGACAAATAAATTGGACCATTTATATGAGAAAAGGAAAAAGAAAAGAGCAAGGAAAAGTAGAACTGTGAGGTGAGACCTAAATCCATGAAATTAACAGTCAAATAAATGCAACTCATGTTAGAACTATCAAAACAACTTGACTAAGGAAAAAATAACTTTGACAGAGGTTTTAGTCTTCCATTTGACATGACCCCGTTAAGAAAACTAGAACAAGAAAAGTGAAAAACAAAATGTCATTCTGTCCGAGTCTTAGCTCAAAATGGAATGATTGCTACAAACGAGAAGATCCTTGAACTTATACGGTCACATTACAAACAATCATTCCTTAATTAGCGACATAAACATGAATCGTTGCAAATAATTGTTTCAATCATAAAAGCAACTCACCTGAGAAAAAATTATCAACTGTTTCTTGAAGTTTGAATGAGATACAACAGTAGCAAGCTAATCAACAAGCTTGAAATGAAAATCAACTAATGAAATCTGAGCCTTAACAACAAGTCTGATGTACTCGAATCAGCTCCGACTTCCAAACTCAACCCAGTTCCATAGCAACAGTGAAGCCTCCGTATTAAAGATGCAGAAAACAGAGATGTGAATGTCAAACTAAAAATAACACATATTTTAGTAAATTTTTGTATTTTTCTGATCTGAGACTAAAAATGGAGAGCCACAATAGAAAAGAAGAAGAAGAATATTTTAGAACCCTAGTTTTTCCCCTCTCAATTTCTCCAGAAACTGCTCTCTAAAATTCCCTCCATCTCTGAAAAAAAAAACCCTCTACACAAGAAAAGGTCTTCACCTTATATAGACTTCCCAAAGATCTCGAAGCTTCTACTCCCCTTTTCAAGAAATCTTCCGAGCCAAGAAATACTCTCCCCAAACTGATTTTCACCCTTTTTCTGATGAAAAAGGGACAAATGGAGGGAGTAGATCAACTCGAATTTGATCTGACGCTCCCCATTTTTCCTCATTTCCATCTGAAGGGTGAAAAATCCGAAATAAATCAAATAGAGCATGTGAAGGAGAGGAAATCTGTCAGAAACGGTTACGCTATGGCAAGAGGAGAGAAGGTAAAACGCGTGGTGCGAGTTTGGGTTTCACTCGCCTGAATTTTGGCGAGTTTTGGGAACGGATTCGGCTTGTTGGAGAAGAAGAACAATGTTCCGCTGTTTGGGGTCTTTGGATTTAGGGTTTTCTTTTGTTTTTTTTGTATTATAAGTGGGACGGGCGGGTAACGGGTCGTGGGTCGTGGGTTGTGGGCTGGAGAGGGCTGGTTTGGGCGTGGGCTATAGGGCGAATGGCTGGGCGGATTGATGGACAAGTTGGGCCTTAGCATTTGGGCCACAATCAGCTACCCTATTTTCTTTTCACTTCTTTTTTTTTTCAATTTTCTTTTCTTATACTAATTAATTAAAACTTAAATTAAAACTCCAAAAAATAATTAATTTTGGAAAAACTAAGCTGATCAACTACTAAAACATTTATTTAAAAATAATTACTCCTAAATTAAAAGGGAAACTACAAATTTAAAATTACAAGGCTAAAATGTAAGAGTAAGCCAATTTTCGGGATTTTTATTTTTAATAAAGCAACTAAATTACTAATTAACCTAAAATGTAAAATAAGTCCTAAATGCAAACGCGTGATATTTTTGGTATTTTTGATTTTTAATGGAAATTAAAAATGCACAAAAATGCAAATAATTAATAAAATTTCTACAAAAATCTATAAAATTGCAAATAATGGGAAAAATTTATTTTCTTGAATTTATCGGAGTAATTCATATAGGGCAAAAATCACGTGCTCACAGTTAGTATGCTACTTGTTGGAGGTCGGAAGCGGCCAAGGTCAGGCCATTTTTGGACAAGGACAGATGAACAAATTCTTCTTCAGATCACAGGATCCGCAATATTATGAAAGGTTGATGGTTTTCGAAAATAATAAATTCTCTGATATCATTAAACTTGGAGAAAGAATCGAGGAAGGAATCAAAAGTGAGATGGTAATGAATTTTGAGGCACTACAAGCCACGAATAAGGCATTGCAATCAGGTGGCATATCGAAGAAGAGAGATGTTGGGGCAGTAATGGTGGCCCGGGGCCCAAAATCTCCACTTCCTATCAAACACCTCCACCGACATATCAAACACCTCCACCCATATATCAAACACATCCACCCACATACCAAGCAGCACCACCCATATATCAACCCTCATCCCCCAGATATTCCCAACCAAACACTGTCCATCACACCTATAACTCCCAACCATACCACTTCCAATCACTTATAACTCAAAACTTTCCAAGACCAAGACCCAACTTCGACCGCAAGCCACCCAGACAATACACCGCCATTGCTGAGCCCATCGACCAGTTGTATGAAAGGTTGAAAGTCGCGGGTTACATCACTCTTGTTCCCACTGTGGCATTAGAAAACCCATCCCAATGGGCCAATCTGAACAAAACTTGTGCGTACCATTCCGGTATGAAGGGGCACACCATTGCTGAGTGCCGAACATTGAAGGATAAGATTTAGACGCTAATTGACAACAAGGTCATACAGGCAAAGGAAGCCGCACCTAATGTCCGCGACAATCCCCTCCCTGATCATAGAGGCAGTGGAGTACAAGTGATAGAGACGAACGAAGAATGGGACCCTGAGGGGTCAATTGGGCTTATTCTAGAAGGCGATGACTTTAAAGTTGCAGTCACACTTACTCCTATTATGGTACAGACTCAGTCACCAATTGAGGTTGAGATAACTGCATCAGCTCCATTTGAGGTAGAAGTGGTCACACCTTTCACTGTGACAGTATCAACCACGCCTCCATTCAACTCAAAAGCAATACCCTGTGATTACGTTACCGAGGCTCGGCAAAAAGGGTTTGATGCTGCATGAGGAATGACTAGGACTGGAAGAGTCTATACACCTAAACACTTGGGAGGATCAAGCAATGATGCCACTACTAGGCAGCCCGTCATTGAGACAGGGCCAGATTACCTATAGAGAAAAGTATAGGCAAAGGAGTATTCCGTCGTTGACTATCTGAACAAAACTCCAGCTCAGATATCTATCCTATCACTATTGCAAAATTCAGAGGCACATAAGAATGCTTTAATAAAAGTGCTAAGCGAGGCGTATGTACCCAATAACATCACTGGTGGAGAAATGACCATCATGGTGGGACAAGTATTGGAAAGTCAAGATTATCTTCCATGAAGATGAGCTACCACCTGAGGGGCTGAATCACAATTGAGCATTGCATATCATAGTGCAATTTGAAGACAAGTTCATTGCTAGGGTCTTAGTTGACGAAGGTTCAAGCCTAAATATTTGTCCGATGGACGCTCTGAAAAGGTTGGACAAAGGTTTCTATGAAATACAAGTAGGAAGAATGAACGTGAAAGCTTTCGATGGGTCCCAAAGGGCCACAATCGGGGAAATCAACCTTTGCTTAAGAATGGGGCCAACTTGGTTCGACGTCGAGTTTCAGGTGCTTGACATACCAGCCTCATATAATCTTCTGTTAGGCCGACCATGGATCCATGCTGTTGGAGCCGTGAAGTTCGAATGGAATTGTTAGGAGGTGATCATTCACAGAGATCGGAGTAACCTCATTTATACTAGTCAAACCATCCCGGCTATTGGGCATAGAAGAATGCGAGGAGGGGAAACCTATCATCATATTGAACGGGTCAATGCCATCAAGAAGGATAAATGGTGGAGTAGTAAAATAGAAAGCATATTGGCCTGGTCTGGATATGAACCCGACAAAGGGTTGGGAAAGAACCTCCAAGGTATCACTAAACCGATATAGTTAAAAAATGATAGTACCACCTTTGGGCTCGGATACTAGTACATATGGCAAGAGTATATGAATTGGTCGCCTCCATGGCGTGGACCGTATTACCCTCTTGAGCAGCCAGTGCCACGTTTGGAACAAGCTTTTCACCAAGCTGATATGATATGGGGGACTGCAGAAGAGGAAGCACTAATTGGGTTGAAGAATTTGTTCTTGGAAGATGAAGACATGGACTATAGTGCCGTAATTGAGGAGGAGGATGAAGAAGGCCTCACTATTCAGACCGTAAAAAAGGGAGTTGTTCTTAGGAACTGGACTGCCACACCATCCCGAGCTCGCCAAGTCCCTGGGTAGCTTGGCAGATTTTTACTTCTATAGTCATTCTAGGCATTTAAGATTTTCAGTAATTTTGTTTTAAGATTTACTTGTTTCAAAATAAATGCTCGAGTCATCGAGCTATACTTGTCTGGGATGTTTTTTCAGTTTTAATCAAATGCATTTGCTCTTTATTATTCATTACTATTTTTTACACTTTTTCTTTCTACAACGTTATTATTACTTTCCCTGATGAACCACTGACTGTGACCTGTAATGAGGAAACGCAAAATGAGAATAATGATTCAGATGAAGAAGATGAGATACCTAAGGAAGTTGTCAGGGAGGTTGAAAACTATGAGAATAAGCCTAAGTCCAATCTAGACAAAACCGAAGCAGTAAATTTGGGGAATGTCGAGACCGTCAAGGAGACTCGCATCAGCATTTACTTGTCACCAACAGAGAAGGAAGAGTACATCCGTTTCCTAAAAGAGTATGAGGACATTTTCACATGGTCATATGATGATATGACCAATTTGAGTACGTCCATAGTAGCTCACAAGTTGCCTACTAATCCCATAAGTCCGCCAGTAAAGCAGAAACTCAGAAAATCCAAACCCAACATGAGCCTGAAAATCAAGGAGGAAGTTACCAAGCAGATCAAAGCCAAAGTTCTCAGGGTGGTCGAGTACCCAACCTGGTTAGCTAACATTGTGCCAGTTCAAAAGAAGGATGGGAAAGTTAGAGTATGTGTTGACTATCGGGATTTAAATAGAGCAAGTCCCAAGGACGACTTCCCACTGCCAAACATACATATCCTGATCGATAATTGCGCCAAACATGAACTCCAATATTTTGTAGATTGCTTCGCGGGTTATCATGAGATCTGGATGGATGAAGAAGACGCAGAGAAAACAACTTTTATCATACCTTAGGGAGTATACTGCTACAAGATGATGCCATTTTGTCTAAAGAATGCTGGGGCTACCTACATGAGAGCCATGACAACCATCTTCCATGATATGATACACAAGGAAACAGAAGTGTATGTGGATGACGTAATTATCAAATCCAAGAGAGTCGCATACCACATAGCGGACTTGAGAAAGTTCTTTGACAGGCTAAGGAGGTACAATTTAAAGCTGAACCCCACAAAATGTGCATTCGGGGTTCCTATAGAAAAGTTATTCGGATTCATTGTCAGTCACCGAGGGATCGAGTTAGATCAGTCTAAAGTCAAAGCTATTCAGGAATTGCCACCACCTAGGAGCAAAAAGGACGTGATGAGCTTCGTAGGATGCCTCAACTATATTAATCGCTTCATAGCGCAGTCCATAGTCATATGTGAACCTATCTTCAAGATGTTGAGGAAAGATGACGAAACAAGCTGGACAAAGGATTGTCAGAAAGCTTTCGACAAAATCAAGGAGTACCTATCCACACCACCAGTTCTGGTCCCGCCGGAACCAGGACGACCTTTGCTACTCTATCTATTTGTATTAGATGGAGCCTTTGGATGTGTTCTGGGACAACATGACGAAATAGGAAGAAAGGAGCAAGCCATATATTACATTAGTAAGAAGTTCACACCTTATGAAGCACGATACTCTCTGCTTGAACGCACTTGTTGTGCTTTGACCTGGACAACTCAGAAATTGAGGCATTACTTCTGTGCCTACACTACATACCTCATATCCAGGATGGACCCTCTGAAGTACATATTCCGGAAACCCATGCAGATTGGAAAGTTGGACAAATGGCAGATACTGTTAAGTGAGTTCGATATCATCTACATAACTCAAAAGGCGGTCAAAGGGCAAGCATTGATAGATCACCTTACTGAAAATCTGGTGGGAGGAGCATACAAACCTTTGAAGATGTATTTTCCTGATGAAGAAGTAGGAGAAGACATTACCGAAGCATACGATGATTGGAGGATGTTCTTTGATGGAGCTACAAATTTCAGAGGAGTGGGCATTGGAGCAGTTTTGGTATCAAAGATAGGTCAAAATTATCTGGTATCTACTAAACTCAAATTTCCCTATACCAACA